GATGGTATATTTCCAGCTCTTCTACAAAACGGACTGGAAATAATTTTCCCTATTCTCACAAAATTGTATAGAGCTAGTCTGGCGTAGAACTATATACCACCCAGTTGGTTGGCAGCAAGGGTGCCGGAGAGACACACACCCCAAATCGGTACGACCAACCAGCATTACATCCTTCCTGCTGAAAGGACTTGAGAGGATACTGGACGGACATATCAGGAGGGTAGCATTATATGCATCCCTTTTGAATAACCACCAATATGCTTATCAAACCGGCAAATCGACAGATTCAGCATTGAACAACCTCGTTGAGAAAATCTCCCAATCCCTTGACAACAAGAAGATTGCGGTTGCTGTATTTCTTGATATCGGAGGAGCATTTGACAATGCACTACCTAAATCTATAGGATTGTATCTGGCTAGAAAGGGTATAGAATCGACCATAACTGGCTGGATCTATGCCATGCTAGTAAACAGAACTGCAACTACGACTCTTCAAGGCGAGGCTATCAGGTTCAGGGTCACCAGGGGCTGCCCTCAAGGTGGGGTACTATCTCTCCTTCTGTGGTCGCTCCTGGTGGATAGTCTGCTTGATGCCCTCGACAGAAGAAAAGTTGATCTGCAAGCTTATGCAGATGACCTTGTCATCCTGGCAAAGGCCTACGTCGGGAAGGGTAGCTTGTAATATCCTCCAAAACGCGTTGGACGTTCTTCACAGTTGGTGCCTAAGGGAGCAAATGTCTGTCAACCCCAGCAAAACTGTGTTAATCCCCTTCACCCAGAGAAGGAAATTGGACGATCTAACGCCACTTTCCCTCGATGGTGTGGTCATTCCATTTGGAACGGAGGTGAAATATCTTGGCATTGTCCTTGATAAAAGACTCACCTGGAACGCTCACTTGGAAAAAGTTTTACACAAAACCAGACTGTCTCTATGGACATGTCGAAGGATTTGTGATGAAACTTGGGGTTTAGGTCCCAAACAAATCCATTGGATTCACGTGATGATTGTCAGACCAATGATCACGTATGGTGCAATTGCTTGGTGGCCGAAAGCTTTACAGAAAACGGCCCAAGCGAAGCTCTCTGTCCCACAGAGACAGGCTTGTCTGGCTATCAGTGGTGCCATCAGTACCACACCATCAGCGGCCATTGAGATTCATCTAGATCTACATCCTCTCCACATTTTTCTGGAAAGAGAGGCTAGATGGACTTCATACAGACTTGTGCACATTGCCAATTGCACAAACCAATTCAATGCAAAGTGCAACAGACTGTTGGTTGACATTGGGAGTCACAGCATTCTGGAAATGACCTCTGACTTTATGCCTCCAGCTGTCAACTACGAACTGCCTTATAAAGTACTATTCCTGAATAGAGAGGACTGGATCCAGAGGGAGAAGGAAATATTAAGAGCAGATAGTTGTTGGTTCACAGATGGATCAAAAACACCTTCTGGTTCTGGTGCAGGTGTTTTCAGTCTCAGACCCAGGACAGAGTTATCTACCTGCCTAGGAACTTATGCGACTGTATTTCAAGCGAAAATTTACGCTATTGAATTGTGTACGGAGAGATTGGATAAATCCAACCTCACTCACAAGTCAATAAAAATATTTTCGGACAGTCAAGCGGCGTTGGAAGCTCTTGGCTCCCACCGAGCAACGTCTAAATTGGTAGCAAACTGCCAAAAAAGACTCTCCTCGATAGGAAGACGAAACAGAAGGTCTCTGGTCTGGATTCCTGGCCATACTGGCCTGGAAGGCAATGAAGCTGCTGACTCTCTTGCAAAGGAGGATGCTGCAAGCGGCTTCATTGGACCAGAACCTGTCATTGGCGTCGCTTTGGGCTTTGCCAAACAAACACTTAACACCTGGATGGCAAGAAGAGTTATAGACTTCTGGCAGAATCTTCCAGGATTGGCTCACTCCAAGGCGTTTATTCACTCTTCAAAGCTTGATTTCAAACAGTTGTTGAACTACAATAGGGATGAACTATGATGTCTAACAGGCTTTCTTACAGGTCACTGTCATTTGAATCATCACATGCAGAGACTTGGACTGTCGGAAGAAAGTGTGTGTCGCCTCTGTCTGGAAAATAATGAAACTGCAGAGCATATACTTTGTGTCTGCCCCGCTGGGGACCGAATCAGGTTCTTTGAGTTCGGTAGATCCGTACTCTCACCATCTGACCTGAAAGACCACTTACCACTTACTAATCGGCTTCGTTGAGAAGCTGGGTTTATTTGGCCGAGTGTAAATAGGTGTGAGCCACAATTAACCCTTATGGGTTGCGGTGGAAGGTCGAATAGACCCACTCACTTTAGACCTACCTACCTACCTCCCTTTAGAGTCAAAGATTATCAAATCATCATGCCCATTGAAAAATTACATTTATGTGAAGGTATGACATTTGTCAAACCAAAAAAATCCATCAATGTTTAACTTTCTTTGGTCGATTTATGTGTTCAATTAATTGTTTTTTACCTGCTTAGTTTGTTAATAGCGAGAGTTTGTGTCATCTCTTGCCATCAGACCATAGGGAAATATGTTATCATATGTTTAGCCACTATGTTTTTTCATAAGTCGATCTGCCCGGCAACAGTGCTACCACCGCTCTTTTTTCTACTCTTTCTAGTTGTTGGTTTCGAGTCAGCTTGAGATCAAGTATCAATACAAGGTATTTGTTGTTCTCCGACAGCTATATATTGTTTCCTCGAATTTTTGTTGGGTCTATGTTCGAGCTCTTCGTCATCTGTCCAAATCGAATTAAAAACAGAAATGCGCTTTTTTGTCAAACATTTTGATTTAATTCCATTCTCAATATTCTGATTCATTTCCGTGAACAATTTCTATCTCTTAAAAATTTCAAACTGTGTGTAACCTGTGATAACTAACATTGAAGCTGTTCCAATAACTCCGCAACCGGTTATCCGAATTCAAAATAAAGAGGGTCGTTGTATAGAGAATCAAAATATATTTCGAACAACGGTTTAGAATAAATTAGATTTTCGTGGAGCTATTGTGATACTTCTTGGTTGTTAGAGCTCATTGTCTAGCTTGATCTCTTTGATGAGACACTGACTGGTTTCTCTTCACCGCATCTTGCGTGTCTCGGCCTTGCTATTGTTTCGCATTCACAGAGCACATGCAGTGAGGTTTCTTCCTCTTCTTGACATAAACTGCATTGGGTTTCTTATGTCAGACCCATGTTACTCGTATGTTCCTTGAGTCAGCTATGCCCGTTAGTAGACCTACCACTACCCTTACAACCTTACGGTTGTGGTTTAGCAGGTCTTCCGTGATTCTGGGCAATGATTTCTTTATGAACTCTTTCACCTGCCTCATTCCTGGGAGCTTATTCCACCAATCCATCGATTCGGCTTGCATCCATGAGTTTATGGATGTCTTTATACATGCTTTCGCTACCCCGCAGAAAGGTTCTGGGCCAATCATAACCCTGGATGCGCCTTCACAGGCTGGAACATCGGCATCCTCATTGCTCTTGTGATCCTCATGTCTGGGTACCCAAGTTAGAGTGACCCTATTTTGGGTACTTAGCTCCTTGAGTGCGCTCAGACAGCTTCCCACCAGTCTTGAGAAGACTTGAAATGAGCTGAGCGCCTAAGTTGCCGCCTGGCTGTCGAAGAAAAGGGCAATGGTTTCATTTGTGACCTTCTGCCTGTTTATTTTCCCTATAGAGTGTTCGATGGCCGCTTCTTCTGCCTGGAACACAGTTTCATTATGTCCGAGGCTGAGAGCGATTCTAGTCTTTCCTCTGCGTCCGTATATACCAGCTCCCACTCCTTCTGGGGTCTTTGAGCCATCTGTATACCAAGTATCTTCCGCCTTCACCGGTTGGCCGTTTTGCCAGTCTTCTCTACGTGGTATGATGATTTTGAAATCTTTTTGAAAGTTGTACGGAACTGTGTTATCCACGGGCATTGAATCTGCCTTCAGCTCATTGTACAGTTTCAAGTATTCTGCTTCATGTGAAAACAACGGGTTACAAGTTACCCTTTACTATTCAACAGAAAAGGTGATAGTGCCCTCTCTATGGTCATGATGTCACACCATTGACCTCGAGTACTTAAACTGATTCCTTTTCATACAAATTCTGTCTTTCATATCTTGCCCCGTTCAACACCTCAAGAGTAGTCGTCGTTGATTTTCTTCAGTGCTCTTATGATATTTCATTTTCATATCAGTAGAATACATTGAATTTCGTTTTCTATGATTTTCTTCAAGGAACTTCAAGTTGATAGTCATCGTGGTGTTTATTATACACAAACCAAAAGTCTGGATTACATCCTTGATATTTTAATGTTTCTTTGTTATCAACGAAATTTGATGAAGTATTTCCTAGACTGTAATTGATAGGCTCTGGTTTCATCGAACCAGAACCTTCATTGGCATCACTTTATGCTTTTGCAAACAAGAAGAATTTCAGAGCACAACGGAGCACATACTTTGTATCTGTCTTGCTGCAGATCGAATCAGAGTTTAGCAGAGTTTCACTATTGCCATCTGACCTGGAAGATCACTCATCAAATAAGCTAGTTGGATTCGTTGAGAAGCTGGATTTTTTTGGCTGTGTTTGAATTGGTGTGAGCCACAATAAACCCTTGTGTATTGTAGTAAAGGTTCGAATATAGACCCACTCACTTTTCAGGTTGCGATATCAATATTGTGTAAGGAGTTTATCGAAGGAGATGAGGATCCAATTTCAAACCGCCTATTAAAATAATAATTTGTATCATTGATCTCCCCCATGATCTCAATTATTGTAATAGGATTTCCTTCGTTTTGAAAATGAACAAAATATAAATATGCTGAATTACTCCTCCTTATATATCTCATTCAAAAAACGTTCAGTATCGTCACCAGGGACGTTTTTCATTTTATAAATGTTGTGTCATTCACCAGGCCATGCATTATGTAACACCGATCTTCCACATGCTATATATGCTATTCACAATGTTTGTATATTCGAATCGGTAGTCTTACCCAGCAAATCCCATTCTCCGTTTGTAATAAAACTGCTGAGGTCACCGCCAGCGTCATCTTGCAGTTGTAGATCCAGCTAAAGAAGGAAAATATGAGTTAGTGGAAAAACATGCAACGATCGGTAGCGTTCACTGAAATAAGGTACAGAATATGGATATGATGAAAATTTCCAGATTGAAATTCATTCAAAATAACTATGTACAATAGTTTATTTTGTTTATTGGCAAACGAATCTTCCTGATTGTATCAAAAAAGTTATTCGATGTAGAAATTGTCTTGTCTCCAGTGACATTTTAAACTATGATAAGTTTGTTTTCAACAACAGTATGTCAATAAATGTAAAAAAATGCTTTCGATGATAACGTCCCTCAATATTTTGGGTTATATATACAAAAAAAATTACACTGGAAATACAATATGACATTACATTCAGTAATAGTGCCAGTACCTGTGAACAAAGTTCCAAAGTAGTCAACGAAATGTGAGCATTAAAAAAAACGAATCAACATGTGAAAACATCATTCATATCGGAAATATAAAAACTGATCTTGATAATGATTCATTTAGGTACCACTGTACAGTTGATGGAGATCTGCTAAGTAATATTGAATACAACAGACTCATTCTACAATGTCTTTTTTACAGGACTTTTCACGATTCACGATTAATTAGACGTTTCTGGCAAACCAGACAAAGGATCAACCTGAAAATTTTACAGTGTGCATAAATTAATATGATCTACACACCTAAAATATTTTTAACATTGCGACGTTGCCGCTTCTACTATAAAGTAGAGGCTAATTTGATTAAAAAAAACATCCTGTATATAATATATTACGATTTCTCATCACTTCGTCATCAACTCTATGTCATATTTTTCCATATGAAAGATATGAATTAATTTCGATTTTTTTACCAAACATGTACTTTTTGAACGCTGCTTGATCCCTTTAGTCGTGAGACAATCACATTCGAAATGGAGTGGATTAATACCATAGAAATCTGCAAGTCATGGTTTTATTCGCTTCATACAGGGTGTTAAAAAAATGCAGATACTTTGATCTGAGTGGAAGTCAATTCTTTCTAATGACACACCCCGTATATTTACACATTCTTGAACTCTACATCCGATTTTAGATTGACTTTGTTCAGATAATCCTATTTCGATTTCGAACCGTTTTCGTGATAAACTGTTTCAAACAGAAACTGAAGTGGTTTCCTTGTATTCATCGGACGGTAACCGGTCGGTTCGACGTGGGTGCTGTGTTCACTCACTCAAATCGACCGCCGTGTTGGTCGCTGGTTCGAGCCCTAGGCTGGACTATCGATTTTCACTTGCTATCGACCGATCCGTGTTAGGAATCACACGTTAAAAGGTAAGACCTCGTTATTCCTTAGCTCGCACAAGTTTCGACTTTTGAGAGTTGTCGTTCGTATGGGTGCGACAGCTGGTTAACGGATTTTTCAAACAGATTATTTTTGTAAATTGAGTTCTAATTTATACTACGTAATATACTTTCTGCATGTTATATATACCTCCGAATAGTTCATCTGAAATATATGAAACAGCAGTCACATTTTTGCAAGAAAGAATTGATGATGTAGAGAAAACTTATATCTTTGGAGACTTTAATTTACCTGAAATTATTGGCATCAGTTATAAACATAATCTTAGTAATAACAAACTCGATACCGTACATGAATTTCTGGACTTTTAATTTTAATCTTGGGATTTATCGACTGAATGGGGAAGAAGTAGAAAAATCATAAAACAGCTGATGCATTTGGAAACTTTTTCTCATCAATTTATGTACCAATCAAAGCAAACTATGATGTATATCACGAGTATGATAAAGTTTTAATCAACAGCATAATTGACATTGATGAAATTACAAATTCTGACTATGATAAAGTAGTTAAAAAGCTCAAACCCAAGAATTCAGCTGGAATCGACGGAATTCCACCATATATCCTTGATGTCATAATATCAACAAAAGTGTTTCCCTCAATATGGAAGACGGCCACAGTCACTCCAATACCTAAGTCTGCAAATCGAATAGATATCGAAAATTATAGCTGCATTTCTATTATGTGTGCACCGTCTAAATTTTATTTGAACAGCTGATTTACGCTAAATTGTATCACAACACGGTTTTGTAGCTGGCAAGTCTATAGTTACTAATTTATTTCTTTTTACCAATCGTGCATATGAGATATTGGAATCGAAATCACAATTAGACGTAGTATTCATAGATTTTCAAAACGCATTCGATAAAGTGGATCATGATGTTCTTCTCAATAAATTGAATAGTTTTGGATTGGCGGATATTTTTATCGAATTAATTAAAAACTACTGAAGAGATAGGTCTTTTAATGTTGAACACAATGGTAATTCCTCTGAAAACTTTTGTGTCAACTCGGGAGTACCCCAGTGCTCCAATCTTGGACCCCTCCTTTTCATCATGTTTGTCAATAATTTGGCTTCGGTACTTCATCACTCAGATTGCTTGCTATTTGCAGATGACTTGACGATTTTCAAGGAAATAAAAAATGTTAGAGACTGTCAAGCTACAAAAAGATATACATAATGTGTATGGGTGGAGTTGTGAAAATGAGTTATTTTTCAATATTAAAAAAGGTACCACAATGACTATATCACGCAAAAAAATCCTATTGAATTTGAATATATGATAAATGGACAAGCTCTTGAGAGCTGCCAAGAAGTCAAGGATCTAGGTGTAACATACAATAATGTCTTGTCGTTTGCAAAT